CCACCTCGGCCTCCCAAAGTGTTGGGATTACAGGGATGAGCCACCACGCCTGCCAGGGATTTGTATTTCTGACCCCCCAAAGCTTTGCCATTTGCCTGTATGCCAGTGGTTCTCAAGTGTGGTCCCAGGGCTAGCATCATCAGAATCACCTGGGAACTTGTTAGAAACACAAAGTTTCTGGCTCTACCTCAGATCTATTGAATCAGAAATACTGGTAGTGGGACTCAGTAATTTGTTTTGACAAACCCTCTGTTATCCTGATACATGCTAAATTTGAAAACCACTTCTCCATGCTATATAACTTCACAAGCACTATGTGTGGTTTAGTTTCTTAGCAAAACCTTAATATAAGAAACCAATTTTTCACCATTGTTTGAGACATATGCCAGTATGCTAAAATCTAATTTTTTACTAACATCACTGACATACAGCTTGAAATTGACACTTTTCTTTATTACTCAAGACAACAGTAGTTAAAATATAAATACTGTGACTTAAAAGTTTTAAATATATGTGCATAATAGGGGCTCCAGAAGTAGTCATGTGTTGCTTAACAACAGGGATACGTTCTGGGAAATATGTCATGAAGAGATTTCATTGTGTGAACATCATAGATAGTATAGTCTGTATAGCCTACTATACACCTGGGCTATGTAGCGTAGCCTGTTGCTCCTAGGCTAGAAACCCATATAGCATGTTACTGTACTGAATACTCTAGATGTTGTAACACAGTGGTGTTTATGAATCTAAACATTATACATAGAAAGGGTACAGTAAAAATACGGTATAAATATTTTTAAATGGCATACCTGTATAGGGCACTTATTTTGAATGGAGCTTTCAGGACTGGAAGTTGCTCTGGGTGAGTCAGTGAGTGGTGAGTGAATGTGAAGGCCTAGAACATTACTGTATTGTAGACCCTATAACCACTGTATACTTAGTCTATACTAAATTTACTTAAATTTCTTTCTTCAATAATAAATTGACCTTTAGCTTATTTACTTTGTAGACTTATTAATTCTTTATAACTTTTTGCCCCTTTTGTAGCAACACTTATTTTAAAACACAAACATATACAGTTGTACAAAAATGTTTTCTCTTTATATCTTTGTTCTATAAGCTTTTTTCTGTTTTTAAATTTTTGGATTTTTTGTTAAAGACTAGGATACAAACACACACATTATCATGAGCATACACCTGGTCAGGATCATCTAAACATCACTAGAATAGGAACTTTTCAGCTCCGTTATGATCTTAAGGAACCACAATCGTAATATGCCATCTCTCATTGACCCAAACATCTTTACGCAGCACATGACTGTATATGTAAAGAAAGCACACTTAGATATCGTTTTTGGCCAACAAATCACTTCACCTCTAGTAACTACTATGTTATGTAATGCCCTGTATTTTACATTTCAGGGTATTAATACTGTTTGTCCTGGATTTCAGGGCAACTTTTGAGATTGGCTTAGATTAAGATTAGGTTGGCCAGGTGTGGTAGCTAATGCCTGTGTAATACCAGCACTTTGGGAGGCCAGGAGTTTGAGACCAGCCTGGCCACCAACATGGTGAAACCCTGTCTCTACTAAAAATACACAGTTAGTTAGGCTTATTGGCAAGCACCTATAATCCCAGCTACTCAGGAGGATGAGGCAGGAGAATTGCTTGAACCGGGGAGACTGAGGTTGCAGTGAGCCAAGATCACGCTGCACTCCAGCCTGAGTGACAGAGTGAGACTCTGTCTCAAAAAAAAAAAAAAAAAAAAAAAGATTAAATGGCCCATGGTTGGAGAATGGGTTCTGTGTCCTATTTCATACAATTTTTCCCACAGAATATTAAATGTATAACTAAATTTAATTTGCATATTCTTATAAGACATTTTATATACACTTGCTGATCAGGGGGAAAAAATTTGTTAACCACATTTTCAGAGTCTGCCTTTTTAATTAGCCTATAATTCTCATTTACCTTTAAGTATATGTAGGCTAGTATATTAGATTGGTAGGTATATTCAGATATGAAGGTTAATTATGGACCATTGTCTCTTTTGTGATAAATTTTGGGGTCAGAAACACTTGTGTTTAAATCTAAGTTCTCATTTTACTAATAAGTTTGGTGGGGGTTTGGAGCAGAGCAGATGTTATTAATTCTCCATTGTAGAAATAAGCTTTACAGCCGTTCTTTTTGTATTTTAAGTCCATTACTCCATGGTGTCTGCATTAGTGACATGCATACTATCTGCTGGATACTCTTCAAGGAGTATCAGTACTAAGGTAGACAGGGCTGCTATAGACTGAATGTTTGTATCAAAACCTAATCCCCAGCATGATTGTTTGGGAAGTGATTAAGTTATGAGGTTGGTACCCTCATGAATGGGATTCATGCCTTCATAAGGAGCTGAAGAGAGTTCTCCTTCCACATGTGAGGTTACAGTGAGAAGATGGCCATCTCTGAACCAGGAAGCAGACCCTCACCAGACACCAAATCTGCAATGCCGTGATGACCTTAGACTTTCAGCTTCCAGAACTATGAGAATTACCTTTCTGTTGTGTTTTTATTATGACAGCCAGAAAATATTAATACTAAGACACAGACCCTGCTCTCCAGGAGCTTATTATCTATTGAAAAAACAGGAAAGGGCTTAGGCAAAAATGTGATTGCTGTGATATGGATATGTACAAAAAGGACTGTGGATGTGGTGTGTTGGAACCAGGTGTGTCCAGTAGAGTTGAACTGTTGGTGGTATATACACCACAGAAACCAGCAAAATGCTGTGACTAGTCAGTTCTGCTATAATGAGATGTATACATTCTTAAAAATCACCAGGTGTAGGGAAAAATGGGATTGGGGCACAACACATGAAAGTTTCATCAGGAACATATTTCTAAAAGAAGTAGGAACCTAATAAAAATTATAGCACCATTTTAACAATTTTACATGTTAAAATGGTTAAGAGAAACAAAAATACTATAATAAATATGGCACTTTACCTTGAAAAAGACCTGATGTTTGCTTGTGGAGGTAGTAATGGGAAAAGTTGCCTCTTGTGAGTTACTGTGAAATGGTGGAAGGATGGTTGCCTGAAATCTGAGGGAAAGTTAACACCAGATGTGGATGGCTGTGGCTGGTAACATAAGAGATGAACTGAGGTAGCTGGGAGATGTTTGAGGTGTATGTGTTGTGTATTCTTGTGTTCAGGCTCTATGGCTGGATGCAGTTTTATTTCATCCATCTAGTGTTAAATGGCACATAAGTAAATGGGATTCATGTGCTCATGTTGTTCCCCAATGTACATTGAAAGAAATTCTAGTTTTAAAAGCAAATGTTATAGTAGAGCTGACTGTATCAGCGCTTTTATTCCATTCTGAGAGTTGGCTTACCAGAGCACCACTGGAAGGAGCTGTCAGTCAGCGTGGAGGGCTCTTGGATGCCTTTATGGGGAAGATGATGAGTGAACTGAGACTTGCCTAATGAGTGTAGTAATATTTTTGCCAGGTACAGTGTAAGTAGAGGGAGGGTATTACAGGCAGAGGGAACAGCAGCTTGTGGAAAAGCATGCAGAAGGAAGCCTCGTGTCTCCAGAAAACTCATATGTAGTTTGAACCTGGAAAGAAAAAAGTTAATGAAACTTAGTGGTTAGGCAGGGGCCAAATTCATCATGGCCCAATGTGCCACTTGAAAGAATTTACATTTTCGGAGAAGATCCAAGATGGCCCTTTAGGAGCAGCTCAGGATTGCAGCTCCCAGTGAAAGCGCAGAGGGGGAGTGGATGCCGCATTTCCAGACGAATCTTTATTGCCCACAGACCAGGAGATTCCCAGGGGGAGGAGCCCCACGGGTCCCCAGCACATATGTTTTGGCCTGTGCGGTTGTTTTGCCAGTGCCCCACCCTTTTAAGCTGGCAATTGGAGCTCCGAGAAGGCAGATTCGCCCATTCATCTGATTTAACAGGGGTCTGAAACAGAGCCAGGCTAGGAGATTCCCTGGCAGCGCCGTTGTTTCAGCCAGTGCAGTGGGTCACCTCATGGGAAATCACACAGATCCCGGCACCCTTTCAATAGGTAACTGGAACACCTGGGAGAGAGTCAACCGTTCAACTTAAAAAAATAAAAGGCTCTGAGGCAGGGAGCCAGGTGATCAGGTTCAGCGGGCCCCACCCCCACAAAAACAAACAAAAAAACCCCAGCAATTGGAAACACTCGGGGTTGAGAGTTTCACGGCAAGCACAGCTGACAGCTGAACATGGGACGGTCCAGCTCTGTGGGGGAGGGGCATCTGCCATTACTGAGGCACTCCACCCCTACGGTAGTCCGCCATTGCTGAGGCAGCCTGCCATTGTCGAGGCAGCCTGCCATTGCCGAGGCAACCCGCCATAACAGAGAGAGTCTGCCATTACAGAGGCGGGCCACCATTGCCAAGGCAGTTCTAACCACACCCATATAAACAGGACTGCAGGGAAGTTCACACAGCAGCAGGGCGGAGCCCACAGCAGCTCAGCAAAGCCTCTGCAGGCAGACAGTGATTAGGCTGTCTCCTTGCTGGGCAGGGCAGCCCTGAAAAAAAAAAGCAGCAGGACAACGGATACTCATAAATAAAGCCCTAACTCCCCAGGACAGAGCACCTGGGGAAAAAAAAGGGTGTTTATGAGTTCTGCTGCAGCAGACTTAAACGTACCTTCCTAGCAGCTCTGGGTATATATCCAAAGGATTATAAATCGTTCTACTATAAGGACACATGCACACGAATGTTCATTGCAGCACTGTTTACAATAGCAAAGACTTGGAACCAACGCAAATGCCCATTGATGATAGACTGGATTGGGAAAATGTGGCATATATACACCATGGAATATTATGCAGCAATCAAAAACAATGAGTTTGTGTCCCAGTAATGGGTAGATATGCAGTTATCTACCATGTTCTTCACATGTACCTCAAAACTTAAAATGCAATAAAAATAAATAAATAAATAAAAGAATTTACATTTTATCCTTCAAGGGGTAGAGACCACTGAAGAATTTTGAACAGAGACTATTCGGAGACGGTATGGAAGATAGTTTGAGGCAGGTCCAGCTGGGCTCTGAATCTGGAGGTAAGGAAGAACAAATGTGTATCATTAATAGGCTTGACACCTTTGAGAATATTATAAAAGCTTATAGATGCTCACTGGCAACTGTTTCCTTTCTATGTTCTTTCTATGTTCCTAGAAATCATTATTACTGTAATTTCATCTCTGGATATTAAGGGCCAGGGCCATGAGAGTTAGGCTTTTATATGGTGATGAGTCAGGTGAATTTATAACCAGCTTTCACAGTAGTTGTTTTGCTGTAAGCTTTATTCTTACAATGTTTAAAAATCATGTGGTGAATCATAATTGGAAAGATTTTAACATCTTAATGTGTATCCATTGACAAATAATTACATGGGTCAAAGGCCTCTTTATCTATTAGATTCCTATTGTTGCCCAAATTATTTTTATTTTATTTATTTATTTACTATTTTAAGGCAGAGTTTCACTCTGTTAGTCACAATCTTGACTCACTGCCCCCCAGATTCAAGTGATTCTCCTGCCTCAGCCTCCTGGGTAGCTTGGATTATAGGTGCATGCCACCACGCCCAACTAATTTTTGTCTTTTAAGAAGAGACGGAATTTCACCATGTTGGCCAGGCTGGTCTTGAACTCCTGGCCTCAGGTGATCACCCACCTTAGCCTTCTAAAGTGCTGGGATTAAAGGGGTGAACCACGGTGCCCAGCCCCAGATTATTTTATAATAATAACCAGGCCAGGTGTGGTGGCTCACGCCTATAATCCCAGCACTTTGGGAGGCTGAGGCAGGCAGATCACGAGGTCAGGAGCTTGAGACCGTGCTGGCTCTATATAGAAAATACAAACAATTAGCCTGGCATGGTGGCATGCGCCTATAATCCCAGCTACTCAAGAGGCTGAAGCAGGAGAATCACTTGACCCTGGGAGGCAAAGTCTGCAGTGAGCCAAGATCCTGCCACTGCACTACAGCCTGGGTAGCAGAGCAATACTCTGTCTCAAAAAAGAAACAAACAAACAACAACAATAGGAAAAACCCAGCTGGGTGGGTGGCTCATGCCTGTAATTCCAATACTTGGCAAACTGAAGTAGGAGGATCACATGAGTCCAGGAGGTCAAGGCTGCAGTGATCCTGGATTGTACCAGCCTAAGTGACAGAGTTCACTGAGAACCTGTCTCAAAATAAATAAATAAATAACCATTGTAAGGTATGAATAAATAATAAGCAAGTAAGATTCAAGGTTAAAAAAGCTATAACATTCTTTCAAGGAAAAGTTACAATTAGATACAAATGATTTGAATAACATGTTTAAATGAAGAAAGCCATATATCCCACTCTTTAAAAAAATCAGCATTTTCCCACAGTGCTCTTTAGCAAGTGTTTTGGTGCCTGTTACAGAGCAAGGTGCTGAGAAAACTCATAATCTGGTTGAAGATACTAATGACACACTAAAACTAATTGAAAACAGGAATATCAGGTTAAAACATAAAAACCGTGTTCTATAGTTTTCTGATGAATAAACTACCCCATACTCTATTTAGGATGTGATCAGTGTGCAATAACTATTTATTAAAAGTCTTAAATGTAGTACTTAAGGGAGTGTTAGACAGAAATAATGGAAACATTGTGGGACCTTTTAGATTTTTCTGATCTTTGAAACTTAGGAGAGTATCATTAATGGATTATGGATTCAGAGAGGCCATATACCCTCTCAATAATTTGTCTTTGATACTTCTGTGGAGCAATTGTTGCTGGTGTTTTTTATTTCCTTAATAGGCACTGGTGGTTTTTTTTTTTTTAATGAGAAAACTAAAATTTACAAAAATAATGTATAATTATTACAGAAAATAAAAGAATGCTACTTGCATGAATAAAAATTAAAGCTTCTAATGACCTTTAAAAGCACTGATTTTTCTTTATAACTCTTAGGGGTCAGATCATCAAATACCAAGTTTCTGCTACAGGTAAGATGCTGTTCAGCTCTACTAACCCATAACAGCCATTTGTGAAAGGAAACCAACATACAGGTGTAGGCATATAATAAAAAGAAATTTTATTATTGATAGATGGTTTATTATTGATAGATGATAATTTTATTATTGATAGACAGTTTTACCATAATTCATTGGCCTTAGTTCACTTTAATAGGCAGATATTTGAATCTTCACTTAATCTAGACATTGCTAAAGTATACATTTATCCATATTCTTCTCCCTTAACTCTCAGAATCATAAATTTTTCTTCATACCATATATTTCTTCTAGTCCTCAGCATTTACTAAAATAATAATGTACCCATATCTTATAGAAATAAGATTTTTTTTTCTGAACCTCTGTCCTCATCATACCTAATCCTTATTGCTTTGATTGTCTTCTGACTGATGTTTAGTTCTTCTAGAATATGCAGAGAAATCAAGTCTTAGTCATTTAATAGGACCATATCTAAGGATAAAAGCACCTTTTAAGCATGGCATGGAAGACCCTTTAGAGTCTCTTTCTTCCCCAGTTTTCAGGTTGCTTTGCCTTTTACTTGATACCATCCATCCCATACATTAGCCATCTGAATCATTTTCCTTCTTTTGGAGAGCCAAGCCCTTTCCTGAGTCTGTGCCTTTGCAATATCTGCCTGAAATGACATTTTCCGCTTGGCACATAGCTGTTCAGTCATTGAAACCTAGCTCATTATCACCTTTTCTGTGAAGGCTTTCCTGACCCCCTGCATTAGTTAGGATTAGTTGGGTATAGTAGCAAGTAACAGAAACTCCAAAATAAGGATGGCCTAAAAATGAGAATTTATTTCCTGTAAAAGTTCAGAGTTTGCACTGTAGGGCTAAAATGACAGCTCTGCTCCACGAAGTAATTTCCACCTGAAGCTCGCAGATTTGACCCTTGTCCTCATGGTTCAAAATTGGGGTATCTTTGTTTTAATCAGCAGTATGGAAGGAAAAAGAGACAAAGGGCATATTCCAGCTGTTTATTAAGAAAGCTTCCCTAAAGCCTCTCACACCATGTATCTGCTTGCATCTCATGGCCAGAACTTAGTCCATGGCCATAAGGAAGGTTATATTATTATGGAAGAAAAGAGAACAGATATGGGGACAACTGACAGTCTGCCACATTACTCTAACTAAAGGTAGTTGCTTTATGTTCCCAGAGCACTCTAATTATTTTCACATTTAATCTATATTGTAATTTGTTTGCCTTCTCTGCTGGATTCTGGACTTCTCAGAGACTGTGTTTCATCTTTTTATCTCTAGCTCTTTACGTAAAGTTTAGCATATGATCTATGCTCATACATGTTGAATGAATGGATAAAGACATTTGAGAAGAGTACAGCAAAAATATCAGACATAAGCAGATGGCAGTATTTAAATACCCATGTGTGCAAGGATAATTGCTTATGTAGACATTGATGTCTATTTCTTATACTTAATATTTTTCCCAGTTTTCTCTATTATGTGAAAGTATAGACACAGTCAATAGTATAGGGCATGCTGCAAAATTGACCCCACAGAACATAGTTATTTAAAAGGTAATATGATTCTGTGGTACATTTTTTAAAATTATTGCAGTAAAATATACATAAAATTTGCCATTTTAACCATTTCTCTCTCTTTCCCTCCCCCCCTCCCTCCTTTACTCCCCTTCTCTCTCCCTCTTTTGAGACACAGTCTCTCTCTGTGGCCCAGGCTGAAGTGCAGTGGTGTCATCATAGCTCACTGCAGCCTAGACTTCCTGGGCCCAATTTGTCTATTGGGCCTCCTGCTTCAATTTCACAAGTAGCTAGGACTGTAGTTGTTAGCTACCATGCCCAGCTAATTAAAAAAATTTTTTTGTAAAGATGGGGCCTCACTATATTACCAGGCTGGCCTTGAACTCCTGGGCCCCAACAATCCTCCTGCCTTGGCCTCTCAAAGTGCTGGGATTACAGGTGTGAGTCACCACACCTGGCCCATTTTAACCATTTTAAGTATGTAGTTCAGTGGCATTAAGCACATTCACATTATTTTGCAGCCATCATCACCATCTATCTGCAGAACTTTTTTGTCTTCTCCAACTGAGACTTTATACTCATTAAAAACTAACTCCCCATTCCCTCCTCTCCCCAGCCCCTAGAGACTACCATTATACTTTCTATGTCTATGAATTTGACTACTCTAGGAACCTCATGAGAGGAAGCATCCAATATTTGACCTTTTGTGACTGGTTTATTCCGCTTAGCACAATGTCATTTCCCTTTTTTTTTCTTTTCATCCAGCCCAAAATGTCAAGCACAATGTCTTCAGGGTTCATCCATGTTGTAGCGTCTGTTAGAATATCCTTCCTATTTAAGGCTGAGTAATACTCCATTTTATATACACATACACACACACACATACACACACACACACACACACACACACACACACACATATACACACACCACTTTTGGTTTGTCCATGAGTATGCTGATGGACGCTTGGGTTGTTGTGCTACTCCCAAACACCCATTCCCCATAACACAAGCCACATACAGGTTGGTATCCCTTATCTGAAATGCTTAGGACCAGAAGTGTTTTGGATTTTAATATTTTCATTATGCTTACCAGTTGAGCCTCCCTGATGTGGAAATTTGAAATGTTCCTTTGAGCATTATGTAGGCTCAAAGTGTCAGAATATAGGGCATTTTGAATTTCAGATTTTTGGATTCAGGGATGCTCAACCTGTACTCACATAGCTTCTTAAAAGGAAATTTAAGAAAAGTGCACTCACCTATATTTAAAGAACTTATTTTTCTAGCAAGTTATTTATCACGTCTCCCAATCATAGCTTCTGAAGTGTAAACTAAGAAAGTTATGAAATGTTGTCCAGGTGTCAAATCTTAAAAGTAGATCCAAGAGTGGAATTAGAGAAATACAGCGGCCTTTCACAATGAAAAACTGGATTTTAAGAGTCTCTCAATTTTTTGGTGAGAGACAGAGGACAATACAATCTGTAAATTCTTATTCTCTTGAACTATGGAGATTTTATCATAACTGGGCAATGAGAAGAAATATAGCTGTAGCTTGATGGTTTTGCTTTTATAAAATTCCTCTGCCATTGAAAAGGATTCTTAATGGGTAAAGAAAGAAAAATTAACTCCATTCCTACTGCCTGACTTTTATTATCAGATAGGAGTTAGTTTGGTGACAATAATTATTATTGGGTGCTTCGTTGCTTATAATTTGCCAGATGCCTAGAAAATTCTGATTTGGAGTCTGTATCATAGTGGGCACATAGCCCAAATTCCAAATTAGCAGTCAAATTCTTTTACTAAAATTATCTGATCAAGCTTTCAAATAATTAATGCATTTACATAAAATGCATATCCAGTGGTTTAAACAGAATTTCATAGAAGCTTTCCCATTGAAGCTGATTGTTTGGCCAGCTTGGCAAAATGGTGAGTCATGCTTTACTGGCCAACTCACACACCAGCTGTTGGTATAATCAGTTACCTGAGCCAAGATCAAAGCAGCAGAATACTGGATAGTACCTTGGCTCAGACACCTGTCATTTCTTTAAAAAAAAAAAAAATCTGGATGTAAATTTCTATCCCTCCCTTATGTGCTCTGGGTTTTAAGAAGCAATGTATGACTATTTTTTATCTTCAGAATCTTATAGTTGTAGAGATAAATTGATATGCTTGAAATGATCTGAAAATTGTGTTAACTGTAAACACTTTTAGAGAAATAAACAGGGAGACATTTGAACTTGCTGTAGTTGCTAAAAATAGTAAGGGAGGTATTTCAGAGCAAGGAGAAATTAGTTTGGATAAAGCAGGGCCTGATTATGGGTGGTAGTGATGAATGCAAGGCACAAGATGCTGTAACTGTTGAATGTTACTAGAAGAAACAAAATCTGAGTGTTATGAGTCCGGGAAGACAGCAGAGACCAAGGTGTTGTAGAAATCTAAGAATGGGACAAAAGAAATCTGGACAAAGTTACTGGCAGTGAAAATAGACAGAAAAGGTACATTGGAGGGACATGTTGAAAAAAGAAACTATTGAACTAGGTAACATTTCATATGGTGACATTTAGTGGAGGAAGAGTAAGATCCTCTAAGATTTTCCCAAGAAATCAAGTACATACCTGGTAAATGACATTTCAAGTACAAACCTGGGGGGAAATATTCTTAATTTTAGATATAGTTAATTTGAGGTCCATTGGAGAATAGCCAGAGTGGGACAGACTTTTAGGCTTTTAGTAGAGTTGAATGTGTGGACTAGAAGTATGTTTCCCATACACATCCAGTTGTATTTGAGGAGGTAAAAATTGATCCTAGAGAATACTTATTTATAAATGTAAAGGCAGGAACATATGCTTTCATAGCTTCTATGTATATGTTAAAAAATCTTTAAGTTAAGTAAAACTTTTTTCCCATTAGCTACATTTTACTTGAAGGAACTAGGTTAGTTAAATAGATGAAGTTCATCAGTCACATCCAGGAACCTGAAGATTTTTTCCATACAGAGAGATAAGAAAGCTAGTAAGTTGCATCTTGCCAGCAGTAAGTAAAATACAGAATCAGGATAAGAACTCAGATTCTTCTAAGAACAACATCTTAAAATGAACATTGTGGCAGAATAATCTCATTATCAAGGAGAAATATATTCTTAAATAAAGTAAATTATTGGATTATTTAATACGTTTAATTTTATAACATTTGAAGTAACATACCAATAGAAAAGTGGATGCTTCAGGTTTTTCTTTGGTGGGTTATTTAGTTGGATCAACTGTGCCAATTTTATTTGTGGCCTTCTCTCTCTTTTTGTAAATAGCAAAACATATATATAACCATATGAAGTCAAAGAGAAAAAAAACTTAGCAGAAGACTATATTCATTATTATTTGATTGTAAATTGTTCTAAGATGTAATATCTTACAGGAATAATAATAGAATGGTAATATAATTAGAGAAATAATAGTCTTGTGTAGAGGTGGACTATT